AAAAAAGCTGAGAAATCGGCTAGTATTAGAAAGTTCTTGAAAAGAACAGACTGCTTTACCTGACTGTGCAACTGGAGCACGGTGGCCACTAGATCAATAGGTCGGGAAGCCATGAACTATTGAAAGGTTACAGCAAGTTGGAATTCCAACAGGGTGTACAGTACCAGCTGCAAGTGCTCCGACAGTTGTCAAAGAGAATCCAACATAGTCGGGTCTGGCCCCAAGAGGGCAGGTACATCTTCGACCTGTTATTTGCCCACTCTCCTCTGGGCAGCCATGGTCGCTCCTTCTCCCTTGCGTGAACTCTTGGGGTCGACCGAAGTGCCAAGGGTGTCCCTCGAGGGCATCCTCGAGCGAAAGAAGTAGTAGGGCTGAATTCTCTCTAGCATCACCCCGAGGCCATCAGGTTCAGACTTTGTTTCCTCCTTGGTAGGCAGTTGTTTCATTTTCTTGGTCTTCTGGCCCATAGTTTTTTATTTCATGGCACGAGTAGCCACAGGTTGAGGAGCTTTTTCACGTTGCTCTTTGGATGGCCGCCTTTCGGCACTAATCTGTATCCCTCCAATGGGGATGGCACCGGGGGTCGCTTCCACTAGCTTAGTCAAGTTGACCCGGGGGAATACAAACCCCCCAGCCTTCGTCGATGGCTTCGGAACCCTTGGTGGCATGGTTGCTGCACGCCATGAAAATGTGTTAGCGAAAAAGTCATCTTTGGTACAAGGCTAAAAGTTCTTCTGGGCACAAAGATACTTACAAGCTGAAGCTTCCAAAGATGTCTCGGGACTGAAAAAACTGTACTTTCACAGGTTGGTAGTGGTCACGAGCAATCTTGTGTTGTGACTTTGATCGAGTAAATGACCAAACACCTCGATACGGTTGAAATCCGCTAGAGCCGACAACCTAGTCGTTTTGTTTTCTACGAAAAAACTAAAATTGCATTAGTCTTAACTACTAAAAGAGAGTTATAGGAAAGGATAGTTAGTTTGGAAATTAAAAGGGAAAAACCTACTCGGCTCCCTAAATTTACAAACGTCATCGTACTCGAAGAAGAAATATTTGGTGTCATAAGCCCCAACATTGTTGGGGTAACCAAATATCCCTCCCTCAATCGTAGATTGCTTCGAGAGGTAAAAAGAATCTTTATCCTTGCTTTTCTTTATATAGTAAGAGCATGCAAGTTCTAACATTGTTAACTCGCCAAGTCCGTATTTGCGGCATGCAATATACATAGCAACTGCTATCATATACGCATTGGGTATTAATTGAAATGGCACGACCTAGAAGTGGTTGAGGATCGACCTACTGAAGGGTGAAAGGGTATCGTCACCTTGCATTTGAAAATTGTTTTTGAGATCACAGTCATCCCCTCTGGAAGGTCCTAAGTGGTGTATGACCTGTGATGGTAGACGTTTACGTTGATCGCAAACTGATCTACCGCCTTTTGAATTTCGTCCGTAGTGGTTGCTGATAGTACCGCCTGTCTGGGACCTGCCGAGGTGCCCGAGGGCTGCGAGCTTGTCCTTTCGGCTACTCTCATCTCTGAAGCGTCCATTGCTATTAAAGTCTGAAATGGTGCAAAACGTAGAGGTGATTCAGTCTCCGTACATAGTGTTTCGTATGACTACTTGAAAAAGTAAAAGAAACCATAATTTTCCTTCCTTAACCCCTGAAAACCCTAAACATCCTTGAGAATGGGTTCCTAAGGATCTGTGCCCTAGGTTTTTAACTCTTAAGAGTGTTCCTTTTTTAACACTATCCAAGAATGTGCATCATGTAAGTTTACCAGACATTCATACCCACCATTGCTTTAAAAAAAAAAAAAATTGAGTTTTTAACAGAAATGAAAAGAAGAAAGGGAAGAGTTTTCCTTACCTCTTGGTTTCGGGGGACGAACGTTCTATCGTAACAGCAGGTGTGCATTAACTGGAAGAACGATGAACTGGTTTCTTGAGTGCAAAAACTTTGTTTTTCTCTTTGAAGATTCGAGTTCTGTGAAAAGCTTGAAGTGGGCTTAGGGTTTTATAGGGAAGAAAGCGATGTTTGGCTTCCTTTGCAAGCGATGTTTGGGCGGGACACGTTCCTAGTCGTTGGATGCAACCACGTGTCACCAATCCTCGCGAAGAGTAACCTTCACACTTCGTGGAGATCAATCGACGTTTCCCTCCGTTAGAGACACCAAACGTCGGTGTGGTTATCTCCTTCACATTAAATGCACCCTCATCCGCATTTAATGCTTTAAAAGAAAATGTCGTTTCAGCATGACTTGCATTTAATGCTCATGGCTGACACTTATTGCGCAAAGATAGCTAGCTGTCAAGCGCAACGGATAACATCTGAAAAGGTCATTCGAATGAAACAATCTTCTTCGTATATTGAGCTCGAAGCGAAGTGATTCCCGGTTTTCGACGGAGAATATCCTAAGTATTTTTAGGTCGTGAGCGATGGATAAAGTTCAAAGCACGTTGGTATAGCACATTGTGTAATTCTCAAAATCCACATCACAACCTCCACTTAGTTCGCTGGTTGAGTTAGACCATGAACTTTATGTTATTTCAGCCGTTCTCCACTTGCAGTTCGAACAAGCGTTCCTCGAGACAAGTCAAGTCATGACATAATCATGAAGTTCTCAAGGTTCAAACCTCAAACCTCAAGAACTAGGGGGCTTCTATTACACCTAACAACTCAGGGCTGACGCAAGTTTACGTCAGTAAGGACTAATCAGAATTTAGAAAGGCTTTGTGTCGCCTAGGTGCTGCCACGTCATCCAAGGACGGAAGGAGTAAAGTTGTCATCAACTTGGCAGGTAAAGATTTAGTTTGTGAGTGGTTGGGAGTCGCCCACCTACCCAAGCCTAAGAATATCTCTTGTACAATCAACCAATGGGAAACAGGGTAGGAATTGTACGGCACCTGCCCGCTTATAGATTTGTAATCATTACCCAAAAATCTCTTACTATAAATAGAGGGCTCCCCCTCTCATTTTTGGGATTCTGATAACAAAAAAACACTCACTCTTTCTCTCTGTATTTCTACTCTCTGATCACTATACGCGACCTGATTATAATCTCTCACTTATAAAAATGCAGTGAATGTAGGATTCGCTTTGAGCATCTGGACCACTTTAAAAATCATCTCCCATTTATTTACTTCATTTCTCATTCACATGAAATTTCTAAAACAACTTAGCACTTTGCACGTGTGAATAGTTGATCTCAAAAATTAAGCATCAACACATCACATGAACTCTTTATTTGTACATCAAATTCGCCCAAGGTGATTTATCATTTTTAAGAAAATTCTAGATCATAAGCCATGTTTGGTTTATGGATTAGATGGCTTGGTTTGTGGATTAGAATTGGATTAAATGAAAGTATTATGAATGGAAATCAATGAAATGAAAGTATTATGAATGAATAGAATGAGATTACTTTGTTTGCTTGTAATAAGGAAGGTTGATGGAATGAAAAATAATTTGTTGCTTTTAGACTAAAATGCCTTGAATTTATTTTATTCAAGAACCATAATTTTATTTTTTATTTAAATGTAAAATATAAAATATAAAATTTCAAAAAATTCAAAAAAAAAAAAATCAATTTTTTTTTTAATTTCAAACCGACCAAACTCGTCGACCAACGAATTTGCCTCATGCTTCCAATGTCACCGCCAGTGCTTGGAGAATCAAAAGCCGCAAATCATCCAATCTTGATAGATCTTGGCCATCGAAAAACGATGGTGTGACGTCATGCGAGATGGCCTTCTATCACAGCCATCGTGTGTAACATCACAATGCCGGTTTTTTACAGCTGGGATCTACCTAGATAGGCAAATCATTGGCCGATGATGGCTCACACACTGGCAATGATGCTAGTAATGTGACGAAAATTCATTGTCTGGCAAATTTGATCGGTGATGACCGATTTAAAGATTTTTTAATTTTTTTTTTTTAAATTTTGAAAATTCTTAAAATTTTAAATATTTATTCATTAATATTTTAAATAAAATAATTATTGAATTATAAAATAATTTAGATTTAAATAAATTGATTTAGGGGTAAAATGAGAAATCAAAATTTAAAAGAAGGTAAATTAGGCATTTTAGCCATCCATTATGGATGGACTTCCTAAATTTGGGAGGAATCCTACTCTACCCTTTTTTTAAGAAATAAGATTCATATTCCTTATGCAACTTCTTTAAATCAAACAAGGGATAAGGAATAAAATTATATTCTCTTGTTCGTTCACCCGTAGCAAACTTGACCCTAATGACTTCTTTAATTTAGGAATAGATTATGGCCACCTTGAACCGGTTGAGCCCGATATCAGGTCAAGTTAACTGATTGGGCCGGCCCTGATAAATACAACTTGGTTCTAGCCCATAAACTCAATAAACTAAAACTCGGGCCGACTCGGATCTATATGGGATTCACACTCCGACCAATTACAGACTACAGAAGCTACACAAAACAGAGAAGCAAGCAAAGAACGTTGTCGTTTGAACACGAAAAAAATTGGAGCAAGAGAAAAAAATCAATTTGAGATTGGAGGCCAAAGGAAGAAGAGAATTCTCTCGCAAACAAACACAATGGCGCAGGATTCAGAAAAGAGGTTTCACTCAATCATGGATAAGCTCTTTCAACCTCCTAAATCCGCACCAAGCTCCTCCAGGTTCTCTTTCTCTCTCTCTCTCTTTTTTTTTTTTTTTCCCTTTTTTTGGTTAATTTTTGTTTTCCCTTTCAGCGTTTGGTTCCCGAGAAAAAAGAGGAAACCAATAGAAAAACAAATGAAAATGAGAATCTGTGCTTAATTGAGCTGAATATTTCTGTAATGTTTCGTTTTATTTATATTGATTGAAAATACTGGTAGTATAACCTTTCAGAATTTGAAAATTATTTTCTTAATTGCTCTTTTTTTTAAAAAAAAAAATTATTTTATGTTTTAGGGTTAATGTTTAGGTGATGTTAGATGCCAAGTCTGGTAAATATTTATCACTTGGAAGTGTATCGAATGCTTGAGTGGTAAATGTTATCAGCTTTTAATTGGTTCCATAGTGTTACCGGTAACTGGCCTTGATGGTAGTGTAACCTTTATATTTGTTACAGAGTGTAATATTAACAAAAAAATTTCAATGGTTTTGTTTATAAATAGTAGTTGTTCAGCAGTTGAAGTGGCAAGAGGCGCAAAGCGTCTGAATCCGGAATCTGCATTAGCGCTAGTGGAACCTAAAACCATTGTGAACACAGTGGAGAAACACCAACATTCTTTGTCTTCAGCTGGATCATCTCAAGCTCCACTTTGTAGACCATGGGACCGAGGAGATCTTATGAGGAGGCTTGCGACCTTCAAGTCTATGACATGGTTTGCCAAGCCTAAGGTTGGAGAAATCTTGTTTAAGATTTTAGTCCTCTTAGTAAGAAGGGAAAACAAATTCTCTTGGTTTTATCTAATAAGATTTCTGAATGCTCCTTTCTTGTTGTTTTTAGGTTGTAAGTGCTGTAAATTGTGCAAGGAGAGGTTGGGTCAATGTGGACACAGATATCATAGCTTGTGAATCTTGTGGAGCTCGTCTCCTTTTTTCTGCTCCATCGTCTTGGACGCAGCAGCAAGGCATGTAGTTATTCTCATACTACATCATGCGATATTAAATCAGTTCTAAATGTTTTTATCTTAATATTACTATTTCCTGTGTTTTCTCAGTTGAGAAGGCAGCCTTGGTATTTAGCTTAAAGTTAGACAATGGACACAAATTACTCTGCCCCTGGATTGACAATATCTGCGATGAAACACTGGCTCAGTTTCCTCCAACACCGCCTCCTTTTTTAGTTGACAAGTTTCGAGAACGTTCTTCTGCACTTTTACAACTGTTAGCGCTTCCAGTAATATCATCTTCTGCCATTGAGTATATGAGAAGCCCTCAGTTAGAAGAATTTCTTAAACATTCGTTAATGCCGGAATGTGGTGATGGATATGCGAAGGCTTCTCAAATAGATTACCTTGGCAGTGCCTGTGAAGACTTTTCTGCTGACTTATATTATCAGGTTTGAAACTTGTTTGGTAAATAGTTTCTGAATTCTGGGTTGCTGATATGATCAATTGCTTACATCTGATATTGTTGTCACTGGCATATGAGCTTCAATACATGTTATCTTGATGTTCCCTGCCTCCTCACACATATTGAATTTATGTATGCTTGTAATGGTTGATCAAGATTCCATTTCCTTGGAAGTCAAGAGGCTCTCCTTTCTGATTTCTTCTAATACTGTGTCATGGTCATTATTGCTATCAATGACCTGTTTACTGATTTCCAATATTGCACTTGATCAACTGACGATTTCTCACCTTTATTAGTTGATAAAAACCAGCTTGACTTTATCTCTTATTGCTGTTCAGTTTTTTTAATTAGTTCAATTATGCCAGAATATTTTCTTTTACTTGCAATCAATGGAAATTGTAAATTCATGTGTTTTTAATTGAGTTTGGTATTGCCTCACTCTTATATAACTTGTGCATACTATTTCATATTTCTCCAACATTCAACAATATTCAGTAGATTATGGTGTTCAGTGTTTCATCTTTCAATTAACCCATTTTGTGCTCTTGTACTGAACAAAGTAAATGAAAAAATGTGATAATTGCACGACAAGCGTGATTTAGAGTGTTCACTGTTTCCGCATTGTTGAGATGAGTGATGATCTATTAATGCATTTTCAGGCACAAAAGCTCATAAGTTTATGTGGCTGGGAACCACGCTCACTTCCTTATGTGGTTGATTGTGAGGACAGCGTAAATAATTTTGTTATAGATGTTGATGGACAAAATCCATGCATTGATGCTCAATCTGGTGGTAGCAATGAAATTGTTGAGGCAGCTGAAAACTCTGGGATTCATAAATCTGTTGTGTTGGATTGCAGGCTTTGTGGTGCTAGTGTTGGATTATGGGCTTTTAGTATGGTTTCCCGTCCAGTAGAGTTTTTTAGAGTAGTGGGATATGCTGATGAAAATGGTGAAAACAATTCTGGAACTCATGGTGCAGAGAATGAAAATCATGAAGTTGCTATGAACACTGTCTCAAATGGTGCCCCATTGCATAAGGATACTTCACCGAATTTAAATCTGACAATTGCAGGGGGTCCACCACCAACAAAACAGAACTTTAAAGCAACCATTTCTTTACCACTTATTGGCCGAACTTTAAGGGCTAAGTTCTCAAATGATTCTAATTTTAGCGATAGTATTTATGATAAACAAGAAGAAATTCGACATGGATCTAAGAATAGTAATTTGCTTAAGGAGGGATTAGACAGCACAGAACCCAATCTTACTGGACAAGTTGTCCAGATAGAAGAGATGGGGTTGTTGAGGAGTAAACAACACGATCAAGGAACAGATAGTTCTACAAATGATGAACAATCCCCTGGTCCAAATCATAACGCTAGTGAAAGAGGTGATACTCTTGGAAAGGAGAATAGGGATCATATGCCTATGGAAGGAACAAGTGTCACCCAGCAAGCCACATTTTCTGAAACAGGTAAGCATTGTTGTATTATACAAAGTCCCATAGCAACCATTCAGAATGTTGACGTAGATCTAAGTCAAATTGATTTGTTGCCTGAAAATGCAGCAAACGTTGATCCATCAAGAGGGGAATCCAGTGGCTCTGAATCTAGAGATTCTTCTATTACAACTCAGGATGCTAATTTAACTATTGCAAATGGGAAACAGAGCAAAAATGAAAGATCATTGATGATTACATCTGACAATGCAGTCGTTTCTAGAAGTACAGGTAAGATATAGTATTGATAATCGCCATAACTGTTTCAATGATATTTTGAAGTAAAATCACTATTCTTCTTATTTATACTTGATTAATTGATTCAACTTTTTAATCTTGGCTTTTCACACCTTTCTGTTTCCCTTTTCTTTTGGCTGGGAATCTTGCTTACTATCATCTTTCAAAGAAATTTGTAGTAACTCTTACATTATATATTTTTTTTTTCTGAAGAAGCATTGCATCTTCTTTCATTTGGCAATTGTTGGAGCTAATTATGTTATACCTTTCTACTTGTGCCTTCTGCAATTTCTTCATTGATATTGTCTAGGAGCAAGGCTATACTTAGAATTGAGTTATACAATCAGGTAAAAAACAAAGGACAAAATAGTTATTTTACATAAATTTTGTGCAATTTTTGTCTGGTTATATGATTCAGTTGTAAGCAAAACATTATTGTATTGTCTAGTGAGTATAACAATTATTGTCTTGGCCTCTTCTCTGCTTAACAGTGCATTAATATTAAATTAATGAATCTAATATGGTTGCAACCTTGTCCTTTTTGCAACTCATTTTTGTCTTAAGATCATTCACAGCTCATCATCTTTTCTTTTCCAACATTGAGGAAGGACCCTGAAGAGGAATCCTGTTATCGTATTTAATATTGACTAAACCCTATGTTTCAGGGTCATTATTGGTGTGAGGCTAATTTAATTCACAAAGTTGCATTAGATTTTGATAGCTGGTTTCTTCCCCTATCCATAAGCTGACTGTGTCACACACTAGGTGGAATAATTTTGACGGGGTCGCATATTTGTGCCTCAAAGAATAAGCTAAAACAAGGTAACAGCACAAGTTTACTCGAGGTATTGAGAAGATTGATGATACAGTTACATTAGATATTCAATGGGCATTTAAGATCCACCATTCATCTGCAGAAAGTACAGTTTAGTTTAGAAGTAAAATACTATCAACTTGCTAAAGGCAAAAATGAAATCTAAATATTACTCATGTTTTGAGTGAATAATGAATTTTAACAAGTAGCTGTTACTTTCTGTATTAAGTTTGCCAAGTATAACAGTTTATATTAACTAACCATGCTCCTGTCTTCCAGCCACTACTGAACTGTGAAAGTATTGCCTTCTTTGATGGATGTCAATTTGGTCTATGCATTTATGGCATATACAGTTAATTTTCACTTTTTTCTTTTTGCTTTCTGATTCTCATAAGATTTGTTGTTTGATTATAACATTTTAAATTAACCATGCTACTGTCTTCCAGGAAAGGATACTAAGCAACTTTCAGAAGATAATGCGATGAAATTTGATCCAATTAGGCAGCACAGACATTTTTGCCCCTGGATTGTATCAACAGGTAGTGGATCACCTGGATGGCAACAAACACTATCTGCTTTATGTCGTGCGAAAGAGCATTTTCATCCATCACTGGAAAATTCTCCTCCATCTACCTCTGTGATTAAGGTATATCCAAATGTTCTACCAGTAAGCCTTGGTTTTAAGACACTTGAAATTAACAGCGAGCAGCACAGTGATAAAACTCAGTCAATCATAATAAATGGAACATTGAACCTGCAAATGGGTCTGAGCTTAATCCTAAGTTTATCTGAATTCTGTTAATTATGATGCAAGCCTGTATTTAGCAAAATATGGATGCTTTTTCCCCAGTTAAACCCGATGCTTTTATTCCACTGTGAATTTGTATGTATATATGGTATACAGTGACGGTCAATTAGATTTCTTAGTACTTTCATCTAGAAAGGATTTATATCTTGCTGGCTATTATTAACAGGTGGATGATCCTGTCACCTCAGTTAGAAATCTTTTCATGTCTCCGGTTGCAAAAAGATTGAAGCCCAGTCAATAGTCAAGCCGAAGTATGCACCATTTCATCAGTGTTTCTGGAAATCAACGAGTTGCCAAATATGTGTGGGATGAGACTCCTGCTTCTCTTATCTGGTAGGTTCTGATGTCCTTAGAGACGTATTTCTCTATGTCAGTATCTCAATTGAAACCCATACAAGTTTTGTATCTACTATTGCAAGGAAGAAGTCTTAGCAGAATAGTTTTGTGTTTATTACAATATGATTGTGAATTTCAATTTTTTTTCACCTTGTCCTACGATACAGTGTAAAATATTGTAACAAGATTTTTTGACAAGGGCAAATATAATTCATTCCTCACATGAAATTGTTCTCTCATAGTACAAAACTGAAAGAACAAGAATTGCAAATTGTTGTTATGCCATCAAGCCACAATTTGTGATGACCACCTTTGAGTAGGGGCGGTTGAAGCCTCTTTCTGCCACAACAGCCCTTTTGTCTCCTATTAGCTTTGCCACCCTGCTCAGCAAACAACAGGTGATTATTATTTTGCTTTATGATTGCAAAATCATCAGCTGTATTGAAATGAGAACAAAGGAACAGCTGACTGAAAGGCAGAAAATAAAGCACCCTTAGCTTGGATTGTGCAAAGCTGAGTCCCCATTACTTCTTTTATGAATCAGTCCATGTTTTAACAGGAATTGATATTGTGTTTGACAATTTTAAATTGTACTATATATTCGCGAAAATTCATTATAAATCCCTGAAACAGAGTTATGTTCCAGCAGGAGTCAACTACTGTTATCAATTTTTCTCTGAGTTTGGGTCACTATAATATTCTATGCATGCGGTCTTTTTACTAAGAAAAACCCAGGATTGAAAAGTTAACCTGAAATATGGAGAACTGGTATTCTCTTGCACAGTCTTAACCTGTCCGATCTTCTCCACGACCTGCATTCCTTCCAAGACCTTTCCGACAACCAGAGCTGAGACATTCAGCTCTGGCGAATCCTTGGTGGAAATCACAAACTCTGTCCCATTTGGATCCTTACCAACCTCCTCTTGATCAATCTCCAGCTTGCCTTTCCGGGCGACTAACTTCAGCTTTGGAGGCGGCTTCAAAGGGTCTCTGACTATAATGCTGACAGTTCCGGCCAAGTTCTTAGTCCCCGAACACTTGACATAGTCTTTCTCCCATTCTTCTATGAGATTATCAATTGCCAGATTGCTTCCTGTTTTCTGCGCTAGCTCAGCGTCCACTCCATATGATCTTACCCCGCCATGCTGCACATAATTTGGCATGATTTTGACGAACTCTTTTCTTCTGTAGCTAATGCCAGCAGTTCCGCTAACAAGACTACTAAACCTTGCAGCTCCTGCCGGAGCGGTTTCTCCATATAACCCAACGACAATGCGACCAACGGGTTTTCCATCAATCGATACATCAAGAAAAGCTTTCTTTGTTGGAACTTTGTTAGTACAGCCAAGACTAGTATCATTCAAATTCTCTTCTTCAGCTCGCACCTTGGACAGGTTGAATGGTTCCAGAATCTGAGTGCCCAAAAGAAGAAGCAAAGACGAATTGCCAGAAATTGCAAGCTCCCGGCGTGACAATTTGCAGTTATGTTTAAGGCTGGGAAGAGGTGTGGAAGTAGGAAAATTCTGGAGTTGAGGAGTGATTGTTGATGGTGCTGGAGGAAGGATTTGTGAAGAAGAATGCAAGACTTTCTGGTTTTGTAACATTTCTATGCGAAGATTTTGCTTCTCTGGGTTGGTTTCTTCCTTGCCTTTTAAGACTGATATGTTGGTTTCTTGTTTCTCTCACTTTCCAGGGGAAGAGATTTTCGGGATAAGAAAGGGACAAATTAAATCCATCCATGTGCTTGAAAATGTTTCATTTTATTTATGGCACCAAATGTACACCACCAATCTGAAGAGTTCTCATGGGCCATTTCCTGATATGAAATCAAGGTCCTGAAATTGGATATGGACCATGAATCTGGTCCATAATTTCATCAAACTTCAGTTGAAATCACTATTACAGCATTCTTAAAATTTTAAGTTATTTACACTTTCCCCCAGGGTTTTGATCAACTATTCCACATCCCTACCTATCGTAACTGAAGTTTGTAAAGTCCGTCAGTCATAAATGAAATGACCAAAACACCTCAAATAGTAATGGGCTAAAATGGATTAAAACTAACCTAAACACCCCATCATTAAAAGAAAAAAAAAAAAAAGAATTAAACCTGAGTCTTAAAATCTTAGACTAAATAAATACATTTTTAACATCACTGTTTAGGGTTATTTTTATTATTTAAGTAGTTAACAGTTTTGACTAATGTCCGTTAAACAGGGAAGAGGTAAAATTTTCTATTTCCTAGCAAAATGAAAATAAAATTTGCCGCTTCAAGGGTTAGGGTTTAAGCCAAAACCCCAGCAATAACACACAGAAAACTGCAAACACCAGCAAAAGAGAGCACTGAAAAATTCATTTACACTTGATGGCAATTCTCTCAAGAAGACTTTATCATTCTCTTCTCTCAAACCCTAATATCTCTCACGTTTGTAGGCCCTTTTGCTCTTCCAACTTCTTTCCCTCTCATCCCAATTCTGACTCTGACGAGTCACCTGTCAACTCCGACGCCGACCCAGTTCATGATTCTTCGTCTTCACCATCATCAACACCGGGATCCGGTGAGCCACGTGAGTTCTATAATCGCTCCCTGGAGAACGGCCTCGATGTGGGCATTTACAAGGTAACTTCTAACTTCACTTAGCACTTTTGTTAATTTCAGATTGGTAATTTCCAATTTCACTTGATTGGCTTTATAACTTAGCTTTTATTGTTGTTTATGATGAAATTTTGGTGAGTAACTGAGTGAGCTGAGAAATGATATCTGGGTTTGATGGGTTTTTGTGGGGTCTTTTGTTGTAGGCAATATTGGTGGGGCAGGTAGGGCAGAGTCCGATACAGAAGAAGCTGAGGAGTGGTAGAACAGTGACGCTGTTTTCGTTGGGGACGGGCGGGATTCGGAACAACCGGCGGCCACTGGATAATGAGGATCCAAGAGAGTATGCAAATCGGTGCGCTGTTCAATGGCACCGGGTTTCGGTTTACCTGGAGAGGTTGGGTGGGGTTGTCATGAAGCATGTTGCTCCTGGGTGAGGTTATGTTTATTTGAACTACATTTTCAATTGAGAACTTATTTTTTTGGTTTATAAATCTAAGCGATTGGATTGAATGTGATTGGATTGAATGATGCTTGGGTATTAGCTGTAAATATGTTTTATGGGGCAGATAAGTGGAATTATATGGTATAGAAACAAAACTGGGAGAACAGTTCATTAGTTCCTTTCTACAGTTAGAATTATAGATTGTTTTGTAAAATTTGTCTCTGAAGAAACCTAATTTCTTGTATATAAAAGAATTGATCCTGTGTTTGGAAGTAAAGATGTTAGGGATCCTGAAATGAGAACAATTCTTGTATGTGAAAATAAATTAGATGATATTATCAGTGGCAGCTTACTATAACATTTAATGTTCATTTTGCTTGCAAATAGAATTTTTTGATTTGCTGATTTAAATTGCTAAAAGAAAGAAAAAAGATACTTGGAGATATTGTGAGGTTCTGCATGTTGGACTTGCTGGAAGAGAGAGAGAGAGAGGGAAATGCTTATTATGTATTGGTTAGAATTTTAATGGTCTTCTAAGTTAATTGATTTTATCAATTCAATTAGCTAATGTATATCTCTGTTGTTGGAATGAGTGTGAATGTTTATCTACATTTTTGCATTGCATCAACTTGTAGATACAATATCTGCTTCAGTATGGATATTGCTGAAGTATATCTATTTACTGTTGGCTTGTGTATATAGTAGAAAAACTTGATTGCTAGTGCTTTTTGTTTCCATTTAACCATTGCTTAGCTCTTCTGAACTTTGTCTTTCTTGTTTCATCTGACTTATGATGCAGGTCGTCTACATTTTTTTTTTAATCTCAGTTATTATATATAATGTTCTTGTTTGATGTAGATCAATTATATATATAGAAGGAAATTTGGAGCAAAAAGTTTTCAATGATCCGATGACTGGTCTTGTTCGGCGTATACGAGAGATTGCAATTCGTCGTAATGGTACATACATTTCTTTTTTCCATTGTGAATATTAATTTCTTTAGGGTAAGAAGAAAATCATTTGACCTTATGTGTATTGAATTTGCTTTTGTTGTGTATTTGTTAGAGTTGCCTCTAAATCTACTTAACATAACCATTTTCTATGCCGTTATGATTTGAACACTTTGTTTTATATGTCACTATCTTATATTATCTGATAATACGCTATTCTCTGACCAACAAAGATTTCTTACATTTTTTTTTTTCTTCCTGTGAATTTAAATTTTTTTTTTTTTTTTCCAAACACCATGTATGTTAGAGTCAAAGACTCAAAGGTGGAATTATATACTTTCTGATGATACTTGTTGAGAACAAAACATATGTATCCTTACATTTTATTGAAGTTGTGTTGGAAACGCTGAAAATTAAAGACAAAAGTAGGAGAGAGATGCATGGTAACTACAGTTTTATAATTCTATTTTAGTAAAAAAGTGTAGGTTCTCTTATGAAGTAGCAAAACTTGCATATCCTGGAGGCGACTAAAGCTTATTGGCATGATATGTTGATAATATTGAATCATAGAGGTTTAGCCTTTGTAGAGCATTAATACTTGTGTATGGTGATGATTTTAGTTGTTGATAGAGAATTGTGAAGATAGTGTAATGCTCAGTTTCTCCATCATGTTTATTGGATTTATCCAATGTGGATTTGGCAGGTCGCCTTGTGTTTTTGGGAAATGGTGGTGATTCCCAGCCTCCATCACGAGGAGAAATTAGAGGCGTTGGCTATTTCTAAATGCATCAGTTGAAGTGGGAGCAACTGTTGGTTCATTAAAACATGAATTCAATTTTTAATATTGTAATTATATTTTGACTTTGTTTTTAGGTACTTATAATGGGTCAGAAATACACCGATATTCTGAAAATGTTGCACAAATGTTTTCTTTATGTGCTAATGTTGTTCTGCTTTTGTCACTCTTAATCTTATGATCAGCAGTAGTTTGAACACCCACTGTATTGTTCATTTTGTAATCATAAATTGGAAAAAGTGACTGGGTAGCCTGAGAAAAGCTAAACCTACATTGCCCATATTGATGTTTAGTAATTTATATCCAGTACCATAAGTTGAAACTAATAAATTCATACAAGAACTGTAACATAATAATCATCTCTTCTTTAAGTTATTGATATGGAAAAGAAAATAGACCCAAATTTGAATAAATTCAGAGAATATATCTTCTTGCTCTCTCTGTTTCTGGAATCATGTTTCTCTCGAAACTCCATCTGCATTATGCTAGAATGAATCTGTGTGGTTGGCTGGTGGAGAACTTACAGTAAAATTATTGCAACTAACACTTTACCTCTCAGCATTACATTATAATTAATGAGCTAGTTTGAACATAGAGTAAAGCTACATAACAATAAGATTAAGAAAGGTGGTGAACTGAACGAGTTTCTGCAAAAGAAAATGAATATATAATAAGCTTCTCTAAGTCATGAGGTTTGTATGAAAATGCTACCTCAACCATTTAGGTTAACATCTCTTCTTCATTTTCTTAGCTCATGCTTTCCAGGCCTATAATAATAACCATGCCACATTCACGAAATTCTATTCAAATTATAATGGGCTTTTAATCTCGACTTTCGGTTTAATATTTATAATATGATGAGTTTATAAATATATATCTAATTACCGATTTATCATTCATTTTAACAGAAATAAAATTACAATACGGAACCGTTTATGAATATTTTCAACCGTGGATTCAATACATTTAAGTCAAAAGTTTTAAGCCATTATAAAATCAAATATTATATTGATACAAAAAGAAAGTGAAATTGAATGGTCCATTTTGCTAGGCAAATAATTGTGAGTGTATAATTATTAATTATGTCATATCATTTTTTAAATTTGTACAACACATTACACATGCCATTTAATACAGTCGGTCCAATATCACACCTTATCCAAACTTTGATCTTATGTTTTTTACTATGTTCCCCATTTTATTAATTTTTAAATTTAAAACAAAATGCGCTGAATTTACTGGACATGTCTTAAAGAACATCGGCCGGGGACCCAACCATTGTGGAAAATGATGACGTGACGGCAGAGATGTGAGTGGAGTTGTGTGCGTGTACATGAAAGAACAATTTAAAACGACAAACATATGGAACGGAAATAACTGACGGCACGATGCAACCACTTCCTCGTCATCACTAGATAAAATGAGTCGACAGCCGCTGATTCATCCATCACTTTTTTTTTTAATCACCAATTTCAGAACCGTACACGTGGCTCATGTGCATTGTCAGCTGATGACGCGCTATATGCCTGCATTGCTTACTTGTTTCGATCATGATCAAAGATGCAGCATATCATACACTTGTATAGTATGATGAAATTAATATAATATTTAAAATACGAACATGGTGAAATAATGTATTAGTTAAATAAAAAAAATATTAATAACATTAATTAAAAAAAAAATTGAATTTAAGGGAAATTGTGACATTTGACATTAATCAAGTATCATTAAGGCAAATAGTTGACCACAATAAATATTAACCAAAAAAAGAATAAATTAGATATGGTAATAATTTAGGTTGGGTTCATATTACAAATACGGAAAACAATATTCATATTTTGGTTGGAGTTGAAAATGATTAAGACGTGTTACCATTTATTACAAAAAAATTGACATGTTTGGACCATTTATCATTTAATATATTACCACTCAAATTCGTTTACAATATGCCTAGATTTTTATTTTTTTTTATTTTTTTTATTTTCAATATGATTATATTATCATACACCACATTATTGAATTGACCAACTAATTTTTCTATCAATCAATGATAACACTACAAGACTTTAAAAAATATATATATTTATTGTAATTTAATTTTTTAAATTTTTCTTAGAATATTTATATTCTATTCAATGCACTTTCAAGTAGATGGGAATCAAAGAAAATAATTAAATAATTCATGCAACTTATTACATTTTATTTTCTCAGAGAAAACAAAAACATTAAAAAATAACTTCTTTTTTTTTTGGATTAATATTCTCCATTAATCATCATATTAACATAAATAATAATAATTAACATTACGGGTTTATTCTATTAATTGAGATAATCAAAGTTGTGAGTTGTGACAGCTTCATTTCCATTTTGACAAGTTTTTAATCTTGGTCCTATGATTTTGTCGAAGTAATGTTAGATCCAGTAGAATCTAAAAGTAACACTTACATCCTTTGTGACTTGTGAGTCAACATCTGTTTCTAAGAATTTTTTATAGATAATCTAATAATTTTTAATAATTCTATTAATTTTTAAGGTTTAATTCTCTAAACCCCTCGAGGTTTTCCAAAATTTTTAAGAGTAATATTAGGTTCACAAATCAATCTCACAATCCCCAATGTGACAATTTGTAAATAAGTCTCGCCTGCTTGCTATGGATCTCGTCTGCCCAATTACGAGTTGATAAATTATGAGTTACTATATTAGGGGTTGTGAAAGAAGGTTGCAAAATTAGGTTGTGGACCTAGCATTACTGATTTTTTTAAATCCCTTGGGATACTGGACATGGTCATAAACTCTCCGCTCTTATTCAAACATTAATATATTTTCATTAAGTTTAATAAGTGGGGGTAAAACAGTAACTATCATTACAATAAAAAATAAAAAATTCAAATTAAAACAATCAAGATACACAAATAAAAAATTAAAATTAATATCATTAATAATGGACAGGGATATTTTCGACATTGATAAAATAAAAATTAAAAATTAAACAGTCTCGAATTAATAAGGACGTAAATGTTATTTTAAGATTTTACTGGATCTAATAAATTTTAACCAAAGCTCGAGGACCAATAAAACATAATTATAACCTGCCGAGAGAGGCCAACTCATAACTTCAACGCCATTTTAGGAAGAAGACGCTGTTGATTCATTCTTGATGCAAGACAAACTCATTGAAAAATCAAGCGAGAACAAAAGACAACTCACAACCAGAATGAACTTTTTGCTACAACCCCTATCTCCACCTTTAAACTGAGATTCTACACACAGTAATCAATCAAGTCAAAGAAAGAATCAATGGACGACAAGAAAATAGTTGTTGTAGTTGAAGATTTAGAAGTCGCAAGAACCGCTCTTTTATGGGCTCTGCATAATCTTATCCGCTATGGCGATGTCATCACTCTCCTCCACGTCTTCCCTTCGATGAAAACAAGAAGCAAGAAGAAGCTCCGGCTGCGCCGTTTGAAAGGGTTCCAGTTGGCGCTCTCCTTCAAAGAAATTTGCAACAAGTACTCCTTCAACGTAAATTACAGAATTTTTATGTTCTTTTTAAAAATTTTATTTTCCAAAGATGTTTAATTTAAGGGATTAGAGAATTGTGTTGCAGACAAATGTTGAGATTGTTGTTGCCGAAGGGGATGAAAATGGCTCCAGAATCGCTTCCATGGTGAGAGAAATCGGTGCTTCGACGCTCGTTGTTGGTCTCCATGATCAGAGCTTTCTTTACAAGTGAGTTTATTAATTTCAGAGTTTCTTTTGATTGATGATGCCTTTTTCTTGATTTCATAAAGTTGAGTTTTTGTTTTCTGTTCTGGAAAGTACAAGAAAAATGGTAAATTGTCTTATTGTATTTGGTCAGTTTTGTGAGTTTCAGTGTACTGAAACTCCATGGCCACCGGCACATGGCCTGTCTTTGGTGGTGAAAGAGCCAAAAGTTTTAACAGTGATTGAGGATTCTGGGGCGTCAGATTGAATCACTTAAAACAAACTGTAGCAGAAAGCTACAGTCTCCTAAACCATGTGGGCGTCTGATTGAACCAATTATTTAATGTCGACTCAAGTTTAAATCCATAAGTTTTTGACTTTTAACATTTTAATGTCCCATCTGAGATTTGAAACACCATTAAACAATTCAATTCTTTTAAAGGACGTTCAAGGTCAAGAACAAATCGCCTTCATTCAATGGCTAAGAATTTCTCTAGTTAGGAAAGCTTTTGACTTCAACCTCGAAAGCAATATAAATTTTTGGTAACATTGGAAATGGAACTCAAAGCAGTGAATGTATGCGTGTTGGACAGGTTGGCTTTGGCCCACAACAATATAGCAAGCAACTTCAATTGCAAAGTGCTAGCCATCAGACAACCAGGAGTAGCAGTAGTACCAACACTAGACAGTTCAACAAACATGGACTTTTCGGTGATCGACATCACTAGATTACAGTAAGTTTCCCACTTTCTAATTTCTTAATTTACCTTCATTCACCTGCTCCCTGGACCTGGACCTGGAGTTGTCTTGTAAAAAAAAGAAAAAAGGGTCTTTGTTGGTCTACATTTTGTGTTTTTCTAATACAATGTTGTTGATTCCATGAATGGGTTTTGCAGAGTCCCTGATATGCCTTCTCCGAAAATCCCATATCAAATATGTCCGAGCCCTTATGCAATTATTTGGAGATGCAAAAAACCGAGGAAGAGAACTTCTGGGTCTAGAGTCAAGAACAAGAAGTAAATTATTTGGTTTAGGTCCATTTTTTTAGGCATGGTTTGGTGTCTAGCTTTTTTTTTTGTTCTTTGTCTCACATCACATACAAAAGTTGTATACAACAAAAAAGAGTAGTTGATAGATTTTTTCTGATTTGATTATCTCATTTTCTTTGTACACAAGTTATTAGAGTGAAAATTTTATTATAAACATTTTACATTTGCTCTTATCAATAATTGAGAATATAAACCATAATTGGGTTTGGGTGGTTTGATGGTAAAAAAGCAAAGATGTCCAATATGGGTTCTTGTCTTGAGTTCGAGTCTCTCAGAATCCTAAGAGATTAGTGGAGGTGTACACAAACTGGTTTGAATATCGCCGATCACCTAAATATATATAACGAGTTTTTCAAAAAATTTAAAATCATTTGGGTTCTAAATAACTTATTTATTTATTAAATAGGTTTTATTAATTTGAATGAGTAAGAATGGAGGGAGGAAGCAAGAATTAGGAAACGATATACTTTGAAGCCAACCCGAAGCTAGCAGCCACCTTGGGCTCACCAAACCCAAGCTAACTCACTGTTTCTNGTCCATTTTTTTAGGCATGGTTTGGTGTCTAGCTTTTTTTTTTGTTCTTTGTCTCACATCACATACAAAAGTTGTATACAACAAAAAAGAGTAGTTGATAGATTTTTTCTGATTTGATTATCTCATTTTCTTTGTACACAAGTGATTAGAGTGAAAATTTTATTATAAACATTTTACATTTGCTCTTATCAATAATTGAGAATATAAACCATAATTGGGTTTGGGTGGTTCGATGGTAAAAAAGTAAAGGTGTCCGATATGGGTTTTTAAATTCGAGTTTCTCAGGATCCTAAAAGATTAGTGGAAGTGTGTACAAATTGACCTGAATACTACCAATCAACCCAAAAATATATATATATATATAATGAGTTTTTCAAAAAATTTAAAATCATTTGGGTTCTAAATAATTTATATTAAAATTACTTATTTATTTATTAAATAGGTTTTATTAATTTGAATGAGTAAGAATGGAGGGAGGAAGCAAGAATTAGGAAACGATATAATTTGAAGCCAACCCGAAGCTAGCAGCCACCTTGGGCTCACCAAACCCAAGCTAACTCACTGTTTCTTTTCAATTTAGCCGCCACCAGCCAGCCCACTGTAGCCCACCAGTCCGCCACTAAATATAATTAATTAAAAATAATAATCTAAAATCTTTTCTCAAACATATCAAATACAATTAAACAAATTTTCTTATTAAATTAAATAATTATACCAAAATAAAACTGTGATAAATTTAAATGAAAATCAGAAAATATATTTTTTTAATTAATAAATAATAAAAGATATTAAAATAAAGTCTAATTACATTTTTGGTGAGTTAAAGACAAAGGAAGGGACATGGCCAAAGCTGAGTGAGTTCAATGAGCGAGTTGAGTTAAGTAAAACTGTAAAAGTAAAGTTTAAGTAACGGGTTATCAGCCACTCGCTCGAGTTGAATTAATTTCCATCTGACTCACTCACGCACGACACCAGCCGAGCCACTCTCTCTATCTCTCTCTCTGAGTCTGCCAAAGCCGTTGAAATCCGCGATTAGATCTGAAATAGGCGTCGCGGCTCTGCCAAATTAAAAAGCTGATCCTTCTCTCTTTCGGCTCAGATCCGGCTCAGATCCATAAGCGCCGCCGATCTCTCTTCTTTCTTTCCACCTTTCGTCTCCCTCCATTTCTTTCACTTTCTCTAAATTTTAATTTACATATTTTTTCCGTTACAGAGCTACGGCGTCGTTTTCAAGCTGCAGAATGAAATTCTAATGTAGAAACCCAAAGTCAGTGATTGGATTTATCATCAGTGACTTTTCCTGCTTTTTGTTTTCCTTAAATAACCAAACCAAAGACGGAACTCACTTTAAGGTTCTTTTGTTTTGTTTCTAATTATAGTATGAACTACAAATATTTCTTAAACAAGTAGCGGATCAGCTCAGTTCAGTTCAGTTCACTTCAGGTGGTCACATGAATTTTGGGGTAAGACTAAAGACTTCAACTTTAAAGACTTTTGTTCAAGCTTCTTATTTTATTATTTTTTATTTTTAAAGTTTAATTGGATTTTCAGGCTGGTGTTGTAAGTGGGAAAGCTGGGAACTCGATGGATTGGGGCGTAAATAATGCATATAAAACGTATAAAGGTATTGCAAATTCATGCTTTCAAAGTTTTCTTAATAATCTTCGTTATGATCAAGGCATTTATACTACTCATTATGTAAATTCTTATCGAAAACTTACTTAAAATGTTCATAAAATGTTCATGGGAGAGTGTTTTAGATGTTAGTTTAGTTGAGCTGTTGTTCAGTTCCTAAATTAGGTAGTTATAAGGGTTGAGCAGCATTCTTTGCTCTGCAATTTAACTAAAATAATTTGCCTCTAATGTTTGTTTATCCATGTTAATTTGTGTTGATATTATTGAGGTATTAGTGTAATTGAAGATAGAATCCTTTCGGATTGTGTGATTTAGTACAAGAGAACTTTTTCGCAATAGGGAGATGTGGGCAGTACATTATGCTGATATTAATGAATGAATTGAAGCATCAATATTACTTCGATGGTTGAATTAAGTTGGCATTGCTGATACATATTGTGGAGAAATATTTTTCTTGTATTTCATAATGAGATGTACAATGAATTTATAGCAAAAACAAAAAACTAATCTAGGAAGTAATCTGGGAAGAAATTGTTACATTCCTATTATAATTCTATTTCCTATTCTTATTCCTATTATAATTCTATTTCCTATATTACAATGAGAATAATTCTATTTCCTATATTACAATGAGAATAATTCGATTTCCTATTTTACATTTCAACACTNTTTGCTCTGTAATTTAACTAAAATAATTTGCCTCTAATGTTTGTTTATTCATGTTAATTTGTGTTGATATTATTGAAGTATTAGTGTAATTGAAGGTAGAATCCTTTCGGATTGTGTGATTTAGTACAAGAGAACGTTTTCGCAATGGGGAGATGTGGCCAGTACATTATGCTGATATTAATGAATGAATTGAAGCATCGATATTACTTCGATGGTTGGATTAAGTTGGCATTACTGATAAATATGAACTTCGGATATGAGACTTGTTCAGTGTTGGTGCTCTTTTATGTATTGGTGTGTTGTATTTTGTGATGAAATGAGCACTTTTTTGCTAAAATTAGGTACTTTATGGAGTAGAATTAAACTTGTTTCGAACTTCACTCAGTGGTGAAACTAACTGTTTTACCTAGAGGTATGTTGGGAAATTGGCAGATGAGATATCTGTAGAACCGTTGAGAATCTTTGCTTGAATTGAGTTTCTATAACTTGCAATTCACTTTTTGAACCATTTTACATACATCTCATTGACTCGTTAGATTCTAATTTGTTTATGTAACCAATAACCATTTTAGGTCTAGGATTGCATTGGCTTAAACTAAATAATTCCTGTGCATATTATGTTTCTTAAAAGGCTTTGATAAGCTGCTAAGAAAAAGAAAGAAAAAGCTTTCTATTTTTTGAACTCTTGAAAAAGGAAAAAAGGAAAGAAAACAAAGTTGCTTTTTCTTTTAAAATCAAGACCTGATCTGATAGTCAACTGCAGTTTGCTTCTTGTATATATTTTCCAAATGTGGGTATAGGTAATTTCTGTCTCAATAAAAGAAGATTGCTGATATAGGTTGTCAGTTTGCCATTCAAGAACATGAATCTTTCTTATGGTTATGAATCTGCCATTTACTTCTTCTTGTTGCTTCTAGGAGTAGACATGGAACCTAAACACGTGATGGACATCTCACTAATTCCAAGCATTGATCCAATAGATATTGGATTGGGTTCTTCAGAAAAGGGAAATGCTATGCCTTCAGCAAAACCAAGAAAGAAGACAATGACATCTGTATATCTTAAGTTTTTTGAGACAGCTCCTGATGCGAAAAGTCGGAGGTGCAAGTTTTGTGGACAAAGCTATTCCATTGCTACTGCCACTGGTACAGTTCATGCATTTGCCTCAAATTTCAATTATTTCTTTGTGTACAATGATAAAGATATGTATTCTTGGATATTAGGATTTATCATTATCCAAATAGATCCTGCAGTATCCAACTACCCATTTATAATCGTACACCTTCTGAGTACAAAGTTTTCAGGTTGAAGCAAATATCAGATTTTCTGAAGCTTACTTGCAATTGATTTCATATATAAGTTGTCTAATAGAAACAAAATTTGCAAATTACTGTTTATCTTATACCTTCTTATCAGTTAGGAGGATCTATTTTGATATTATCCAGCTTACTGGTAGGCCTGAGCATGTTAGACTGTGAAAACTAATATGTAATCTTTCTTGCGTCTGATGGTATTCCTTTGTTATGTAAGGTAATTTGGGTAGGCACCTCGCTAATCGGCATCCAGGATATGATAAGGCAGGGGATACTGTCACCAGTTCGGCTCCACAGCCTGTTACTACTGTTGTTAAAAAATCTCAACCTCAGTGTAAGGCACCCCAAGTGGATTATGATCATCTAAACTGGTTGCTCATTAAGTGGCTTATTTTAGCTTCTTTCCCTCCTTCAACTGTGGAGGAGAAGTGGTTAGCAAACTCCTTTAAATTTCTAAATCCGTCGGTACAACTTTGGCCGGGTGAGAAGTACAAAGCAGTGCTTTGTGAAGTTTTTAGAAGCATGCGGGAAGATATAAGGGCATCTTTGGAACAGGTTTCTTCTAAAGTCTCAATCACTCTTGATTTCTGGACTTCCTATGAGCAAATATTTTATATGAGCGTCACATGTCAGTGGATTGATGAAAGTTGGTCCTTTCGGAAAGTGCTTCTTGATATATGCCACATACCTTACCCTTGTGCGGATTCTGAAATCTTTCACTCTCTAGTGAAGGTTCTTAAGACATACAATATTGAGAATAGAGTTCTGTCCTGTACCCATGATAACAGTCCGAATGCGGTCCATGCATGCCATTCTTTAAAAGAGGAGTTCGATACTCAGAAAGTGGGACCCTTCTGCTATATCCCATGTGCTGCTCGTACTCTTAACTTGATCATAGATGATGGATTGAGAACAACAAAACCGTTAATCTCTAGAATCAGGGAGTTTGCTCTAGAGTTGAATGAATCTACAGATTTCTCTGATGATTTCGTTCAATTTTCAACAGCTTATCGAGAAGGCAGTTGGAAATTTCCCCTCGACACTTCAGTGCGGTGGAGTGGCAATTACCAAATGCTTGATATAGTGCATAAGGTATTTAATCTTGTCTGTGCATAAGATACTAAGATAGTATGCTGCTTCTCTCTCATTTTATGCTCAAGATGTGAATTTAGTGTCTAATGATGCTGTGATTGCAGGCTGGTAAGACCATGGATGCTGTTATCAGGAAGCATGATGAAACATTAGGCAGTCGAATGCTGCTGTCCTCTGCAGAGAAGAATGTGGTCAGTGCCGTGCATGGATACTTAGAACCCTTCTATAAGACCACCAATAACATGTGCACCAACAAAATGCCAACCATTGGACTGGTTCTCTTCTTCATGGATCACATTTCTGAGATGATTACTGTGTGCAGAGAATCCCGACATAGCTCAGACTGGCTAAAGAATGCTGCCGAAGACATGGCCAAGAAGGCCAGGAGTTACAACAGCCAGGTTTGCAACATATTTACCTACATGACAGCCATTCTCGATCCCCGGATCAAATGTGAGCTCATTCCTGAGAACCTTAACACACAAAATTATCTGGAAGAAGCAAGAGCCCATTTTGTGAGAAACTATTCCACTAGCCATTTCTCATCCATGACAAGTGGATATGGTGCTCAAGAGATGGAAGATGGAGGTAGTGTTTCTTTCGCAGAGGAAATAGCTCGAAAGAAACGAAGGGGAAGCATAAGCAGTGCCACAGATGAGCTCACTCAGTATCTCTCTGAGCCACCTGCTCCAATACCAACAGATGTTCTGGAGTGGTGGAAGGTGAACAGTACTCGATACCCTCGACTTTCTGTTATGGCTCGGGATTTCTTGGCCGTGCAGGCAACTTCAGTAGCTCCTGAAGAACTGTTTTGCAGTAAAGGCGATGAGATCGACAAACAACGTTTTTGTATGCCGCATGATAGCACACAAGCTATCCTTTGTATAAGGTCTTGGACTCTGGGTGGTATGAAATTTAAGTATAGATCAACTGAGATAGACTATGAAAGGTTAATGGAATTGGCAGCTGTTGCATCAGATAATAACGCTTCTGGTTCCGACAAGAAACAGAAGTGATTAACAGAGACACAACTTCAAAGAATTGAGCTCAAGAAGATGATGTTCTGACTTGTAATTTAGCTTCCACCCCATATAAAGAAAGAAAGGTGGGTGTTAGAATTATTAGTTTAAAAAATGAGAGGAGGAAGCAGTTATTCAATACTCTGTTGTGATTGTTGTATGTAAGCGATGAAAAATTATGTATTGTACAGTTTATGATGTCATGAGAATGCTAACAAGAAAGGCAGGCACTAATTAGTGTCATCTTGATTTTAAAAATATGATTTAAGATTTCACATCGAGCAGCTTAGTAAATCTGTTTGCTGTTATATTTGCATCTTTTCGTTTTAATTTATATTGCTTTTACTTCTTTAGCCTCCTGCCTTTCCAAAAAATGCAATAAAACTGATTGTCTAATCTCTTTAATTTAATCACAATTAATGCATTTTGTAACGTGTGTGAGTGTGTGTGTATATATATATACACAGAGAGTTCAATAAGGTTGTAAGAAATATACATAATTGGATGGGTAAGAATATTGTAATTACTATGTTGACAAACGAATCTTATAAACTCTCATACAAAACCAATGTGATAACTGATAATTACTTTTTAGTAAATTTTCTGCTTGATGAATTGATCGGAAACCAATTATCAACTGTCTCGTTAGGTTTGTGAGATTCATTTGTTAGCTATTTAGCTTATCTTTATTATAAGAGACTTTTGTTACCAAAAAAACCCACGTAGATTATTCATTATTTTGATTAACCCTTAAATATAGTTCAGATACACTATAGTACAGCAAACAATTAATGAATCGTATGAATACATTTTCCTGAAGAGGATTAACATATTTGGTCGGAACAAAGAAAAGCACATACAAGAAAATACTTGTTACTCTTAACATAGAAAAATTTTAGGATCATAAAATACAAGAATGAACTACCAAAACTGACCGGAGGCGAAAAACTCGCCCTCCCTTCATTTAATTATATTCACCAGTGAATTTCACAGAGAAGCAACTACAAATTGACATTATATGTAATCATCATTTTATGCATAAAGAATGATCAAGATCGTTTTCAAACTACATTTGTGAAAAATCTAAAGTCTTATTCTCCGATGAATGCAAATGCAATCCCTCGCAAGCAATCGGAGGCAGCACGAATTTTGCTCTTATATCCAATAATCTTGACACGATGAATATTTTCTATATCAACAAATGCTCCCTTCGATACTCTCGAACAATGACAGGCACACTTGTGGGAGGGATCTACAAATGAGAACAAGAAGAGAAAAACATAACTACCAGTTTAAAGACATCTCAAGCATCTATGACATTGGCCTAGTTTTCGACCACAAGTTAGCATGTCCAGTGGGAAAAAGAATGTCACAAACTGAAAGTAATCGGCAATCTATATCTCAATTAGATCATGCGTAGAAGTCAGAAATTCCATGTTGATGCACCTTAGTAAAACGTGGATATGAAAATTCTTATCATTAGCTAATTGGTTTCTCATAGCAATATCTAATCAATTTGGTGATGAATAGGTGCAGTGATGGAATGAAGAGTACATAGTGTACGCATGCTCCTCGTTAAATGATAACAAATAATATTCTGATATTTTCCTCACAACATGACTTACCATGCCATAATCTGTGACAATCATAGAGACATATTCCGAAGGAGTAGCATCATACCTGTTACAATACCATAACAAGACAAGTGAACTCAAAATCATTCAGATAAACTTATCTTTCATCCTAAGTATATATCTCAACTTTTATATCTCCAGTGATGTGGATGACTTAGAGTAAATACATCATTTATATCATCATCACATAATCGATGTGCAAACTCTAAATCAATGCTACATCACTTAAGATGAAAAAATTGGAAACTTTGGGATATATGGTATTGTTCTTTTTCTTCTATGTGATAAAAAGTCTAAAACTTACATTAAATTCAGATGTTGAAGATTTTCTTTACTGGTTCCTGTATCCAAATCTATTCTTCCAGGAACCTTAGCAATAGCATTTGGATCACCTGCAAGATACTTAAGGATGCTTCAATGCAGTCACTTTTAAAGCAGAAGGTTATGTTATTAGTAGGTAAATGAGTAGTACCTAGTTCATTTGAGCAGATTGAATCAAGCTGTACCCTTTCATGAAATTTATATGCTTCACAGCAGATTAGGACTGGAACTTGGAATGAGTGAGCAACCATAGCAACACATGCAGTCCCAACCCTTGAATATACAGTTCCATTAGACAATACAGACGAAGCGCCCAGAAAAACTCGTGTAACTTCATGCATAATGTACGAAACGGCATTTATATGAGTATATGTGCAATTCAAGCCCTTTGCTACCAGCCTACGAAGTAATGCTTGGCCTTCAAGCTTTGGACGTGAGTCCACCACCACAACACGAAACTGATTTCCAAGCTCATGGGCATACAACAGAATCATCTCAACCACACATGATGATCCATAAGTGAGCAGAACATCACCGTCCCTGACCTTTGTCGCTGCATGTCTAACAATCACCTTATCAGCAAGTATTATCTTCTCATTTATAAAACGATCTATGTCATTATATAGAGAGGCTTTTGCTTCTGATTCCAAAAGAGTCAGAGGTAACTTTGCAATATGACTTTTCAGAAACCTAATTGCATTTCCCATGCTCATAGAAAGTGGCCGGCACTCAATCAGAAATGAGACATAACTACTGATTTTTGCAGCCAAATCTCTAACAAGAGTTTTCTCAGATGGTGTGGTGTAGTCTTTAATGACTTCCTGAAAAGCACGAAGCATTGCAATACACCGAGCATTACCCCCAGATATATCTCCTGCCAAATACTGCAACCCAACCTGAGAAGTTCATAGACACATCAGTGAACAAGCTAGATGCAGTGTGTTTCTCATATTAATTCAAAATATTACCAGGAACTAAGGGTATTTTTAATTTTCTTTTCAGATAGAAGGAAATTCATATAAATAATATATAGTTTATTTATCAACATATCCTATCTCTAGGTCACAACATTTAAAAACCCAATTACTCTTTGGTTTCAAGGCCACTTGTATCCTTCAAGATATTAGTACGAGGAATCAGCCTAAACAAAGTTTGGTAGATGAAATCTGAAAAAGTTGGCAAAATTGACACACACTGTTAGCAGACATTACATGCCAAATATTATACGACGGGCACAAATTTGTAAAATTCTCAAAACTTAGTATATTTTCATCTAAATTAACATTGACACATTGAGAACAACATTAATAACATGGCAAGTTGAAATGATAACAATAGCAATAGGTGAGAACAATGAAGGTTTAATTGTGATTGAAAAAGGGTGCACACGTACAATAAGGACTACAAAACTATAATACCAAAATTTTGCCCATAATAAGAAAGAAACAATGTCCGAATCCTAAATACTAGCTAGTCCCAAGAAAAATGAACAGAAAGAATTTGCATTTGGGATGCCTCAAAGACAGTTCTTCAGCACACAGATGAAAAGACAAAAAACAGCTACCACTTAGGCAAAAAGCAATAAAAGAAGCGAACAACTAAAGAAGGTTCAGTAAACAGATTTAGCATTGAGTATTATTATAACAATGCAGATTCATGAATGCACACCAATTTTTTAAAGATTACAGATAACTTGGACCATTCATACAAAACAGAGATGATATAAAATAATATATTCAATTTTACACTGAATCTCATTGTAAAGACAAACATACAAAGCATGACAGTGTCACCTGATGAAGCTTTTCCTACAATAAGAAGCTGAATAACTGTATCTCATTTTACTACTTTAATGCTTCCAAGCTAGATTAAGCAATGAATTCACTACCTAATCAAAGTACCTTGTAAACAGCAGGATGCATTGGATCAAGTTGGAAAAATTTAGACTCAAGATCAGGAAGTTGTGTTCCATGTTCATATTGTGGCAAATGCCGAAACAATTCAACTCTGTTTCTAGCTTCAGTTTGATTGACCAATGCACGTTTTTTGGCCTTCTCCACTCGATGTTTATCATCAAACTGCATGCGTGGGGCAGGAACATCTTTCTTCCTCTCTTTCTCTGGTTGACGGTCAGTCCCTTTTCTGTCAGAAGCTGCAATTGAAGATGCAACCGGAGGATCATCTTTCTTCTGTGAAGGCTGAGAAGGCTGCTTCTGAGGTTTAGCAGGGGCTGCTCCCCGAGATGCAGCAGCAGGTTTATTTCCCTCACCTGTAATAACACCATTAAAACCATGAATATGATAATATGGCTAAGCCAGTAACAGTACAAATAAGACGAATTCACATATACACAAACCGATTGTGTATGTTGCTCTTTAACAGTTCAAAGCAACAAGTGCACAGGAGCTGCCAAAGCCCGACATTTTTCAAGCTCCTCTATCAAAAAAAAAGAGGATAGAAGCTTTATGGAGGACCAACTCTCTGCCATACTTGAGCATTTTTTGGATTTAGAAAGGGAAAATTGACATTACCGGTTCGTATTTTAAAGTTATTTGTTTTAGCAACCCAGAATGGAGAAAAAATAAATTCTGTTTTTTGGTTTTGGCAAAGGGAAAGAGAAGGCAATTGTTGATCAACTGCAGCAGGATCATTTCTTAAAGAAATCAGAAAAAGGCCTTACAGAAGAATTATTTAGATACTAGGCTTGTAAGGGAATCTATGCAATAAATAGGAATAAAATATAGGTAAGTAAAACAGAAATTTAAGGAAAAAAATAATAAAACCTTTTTTAAGGTTTAAATGGAACAATAATTGCATAATATAATAATCACTTCAAAATTTCAAGCAAAAAGAAAAAGAATAAGAAGAAAAGGAAGGGAAGGGCACTGTTTGAACCTTTTGCAGCTGCTTTTACTGCTCGTTGAGATTCCTGCAAAGCGCGTCTTTCAGCTTTTGTTGTTTTTGCTTTATTTGGTTTTGAACTTGATGGAACTTCATTTTGTACTTCCACAGCAGCCCCTCCAATTTTTTCTGCAATGCTTTACATTTTCAATCATGTGC